TAAAGTCTTCCCCTTGCTGGCGTGGGTTCGAATCCCACCGAGGCTGCCGAATTTTTCACGATTAAGTCAAATAATTTATTAAAATGTGCCGACCCCCCCCCTTTAACAGATGTGTTCTTGGTACTCCCCAGACGCCTGAATGGCCGATCTCTTTAAATGAAACGTTATATTGCCTTTAAATCCCTTTACAGTCCTATGGTTCCAGTAGCCAACGCCCTTGCGAGCTTCAATCATCGAGGGTATCCTTTTTGATCATGTCTTCTCCCCCGTAAGATACTGCTGTGCCTATGAGTAGACTCAACATGCCTTGATCTTGGTAATCCCTCTGTTCCTTTTGTGACAGCATGTCTATCTGCCGCAAATTACTCCCTTTTTTAACTTCCTATAGTAATCGACGACCTCGTGTTTTTTTTAGCCAGAGCAGGCTACTGCTGGTTCGGATCATCCGACAGAGAGACCACAAGTTATCCAGTCAACAATTCGAAGACGATTCTTCTACTTCGATGGTTCTCGCTATCTGTCTTGGTTGCCTACGGTTCACATAGAACTCTCCGAGGTAGGGATTCTCCTATTGCCTGTCAATGCCTTCTTGGCTAAAGGTTCCAACTTGTTATTTGGGCACAAGTTGATTAGGGAAAAAACTTTCAGATGTCCAACACAACTGTTTGTACTTGTTAGGAGTATCACTCCCATGTGTTAAACGTACTGTTTACTCATTTCTTGAGTGTTCACTTTCTTTTCATACCTTAACTCTCCAAATCCTATCTGTTCAGCAGTTACCAAACGGCAGGCGTTAAGTAGGATGGATTTCTTATTGCCGGTCTATTTATCATTTATATGGAGGTAGATATACAAGGTACGGACAACTGCGTCTTATCAGGCCTATGAGAGCCTTTAGATTTTGCCCCTCTAGGCAGGCCATTTTGCTCAAAGTTTGTGCCTAAGCTAACCATTTTATCTACGAATATTTGGTCCTACAAGTGATTTGCTTGTCTTTTTAAAGTAAATTTCGCTAGTTGTGACGGCTGTACACAGTAAACTCTCTCCTTTGTCGTTGTATCTATCCCATTGTTGTTCCGAAGAAGGCATTTAAATCGACCCTTAATGTTCTATCAATATGCTCTTGCCCCTGATGCTCACCGATTTCTGTTCTGTCTTCTGTTAACCTTATGGATCCATCCTCTTGTTTTAGATATTCGGTGAGCTTTTATCTTTCCCGCCCAACCAAGCTGTGCGGGAGGAAACAGGAACCGCGACAACATCCGATCCAGGTAGAGAAGAACAGCCATCGACTGCTACGTTCGCACCTTCGCCTCCATCTGATCAAACAGAGGATTCCAGTTTGCGGCCCCAGACTCAACAAAGTGTCACTCAAACCAACGCCACCTCCTCCTCCTCCTTCTTTCCGAGATTCTTTTCCTTCTTTAGAGAAGCGCCATCTAACGGTTCTGCCAGGTCGGCGTCTCGGCACGTCGGCACACCTCTGCGCGCGCTCACACCGGAACTGCGGGCGCAGGGCGAACATATC